TGAAGTGTATTTATTGATCAAGTTATCGATAAATCAGTCATCAATAACGACTTCGATAAAAGGTAACACAATCTACTTGTTCTGCACATTAATTCTGTTACCAATTTATCGATCATATTCTCGATCATTTGTTTATCGATTACGTGTTCGAACTTTATGCTATAACTCTCTGAATGCAGGTCATCATCTTCGCTAATGGATCGATAAACTTATTGATCATAAAATTATCGATCATATGATCGATAATCAATGTCCTTATCTACTCTTATTCAGTTTTTCCTACAACCAAATTATCGATAACATTATCGATAATTTTAACTTGTTTGCTTAAATAAGTTTTCACATAACATGATCGATAAAGAGACTAAGGTTTGATTTATTCGCACTAAGTTATGGTGAACTATTTTTCGATCAAGTAATCGATCACTGGTTTTTCGATAATATGATCGATCATTCAATTTCCTGGAACTCATGTTTTCACAAAACGTGATCGATAATCTTTTCCTTTACCTTACAGGATTAAACTTCTTTCTTCTCTTTATCGATCACTTGTTCGAATATTCATTGATCGATCAACTGTTCGATCTTTTTAGATAGCTGTGTCCTTCATTGAATATATACATAACCATGCTTTATCGATAACATTATCCATCATACATTTATCGATAAGATGTTCGATCATCAATGACTAAAGCTTCATTTCAATAACATTTGAATTATCGATAATCTGTCCGATCAAACATGTGTTCGATCACTTGTTCGATCATGGAACGATTTCCTCTTTCTATGATAATTCTTAGAGTCAATGATCCAACACTTAATCGATAATTTTGGTGATCTAATTCGAAAAGTCTTCATTCTGTTTATCGATAACTTGATCTATCATCAAGTAATCGATCATCTTTTCGATCAAACTAAACCAGAATGACTTTCTGTTCTTCTTACTGATAAATGATTTCATCACAAATCTTTGAATGATAAATTGGCTTTCTTTCTGTGTTCAAGATTAAAGCACTCACCACAAAACTCTCTTTTGTTCAAAGCTTGAAATATGCAGATTAATGAAAACGAGTGCAACGGCTCTTCAACGGGATTACGTAGACTGCGACCTATAGTGTCAGAAGCTCAGACGCATTAATGGCGGAGCCGTTGAAACCAGCGAAACACGCAAACGAAGTCACAACGGCTAGAAGCTCTTCCGTCTAACGGCTACTTAACGATATCAACTATAAAAGGCGCGAAGAAGCATTAATGAAGTGATTGAATACCGGAACTACCACCTGCGATTATTTAGTTACGTATTCAATACTCTGTTTTCACGTTACTACCGAGCATCAGTGTTTATCATTAAATTCACTCTGTAAGAGAGCCAATTACTACCCTTATTAAAACTTGAGTGGCACTCAAGAGTGTGGACTCTTGAGAGGGGTTGTATCCTTACGGGAGTAAGGGGGAGTGATTGAGCGATTCAATTACTGTACCGAGGCACCAAGAGCCCTGTCGATCTTGGAAGATAGTGAAATACCCAGAGGTGTTCTGGGGACTGGAAGTAGGTCACGTGGTTAAGACCGAACCAGTATAAATCTTGTGTCTCCTCTCTGCGGTTAAAATTCTCCATACTCTGACTCTCTGTTTTTATTCAATACTTGCACGCTTTTGATTATAAATTTTTATATCTCACCCAATTCACCCCCTCTTGGGTGAGACTGTTTCTAACACCTTGACCTTGACTAAGAAGTCCTCTAAGAATCAACAAGGTTTTCTAGTACTCCTATCAGCCAATTAAAGTATTACACTGGTGGTTTTGATGTTTGTGATCCCTAATGAATTATAAACTGAATGGGGCATCACATTTATGGCAGCACCTAAATCCAAAAGTACACTACTAAAGTTCAATCTTCCTATTTGGCATGGGATCATAAAGGAACCAAAATCAGCACATTTGATAAGTAGTTGAGGTTTGAATAATGCTGAAACATTAGAACCTAGTTGGACTCTTTTATTGGGTCTGCAAATCTTTTTATGTGTGCATAATTCCTTCAAAAACTTAGCATAACTAGGCATTTGTTTAATTAACACCAACATAGGCACATTAACTTCTAGTTTGCTAAACAGATCCATCATTTCCTTTTCAAGCATTTTCATTATTCTTTTTCTTACCTAGCAGATAGGATTTAGGAAATGGTAAATCTTTCAAGTCAAAGTTTTTACCTGAATCTCCAGCTTCTTTTTCTGTGTGTTGTAACTTGCATTCACTGGAATTCGGCTCACTAATTTTCATATCTTGAATGTGTTTTGCAGTTACAGATTGTCCAGCATCCTTGTGGGTGGAATCAATTTCTGTAAATGTTGTTGCATTCTTCTTGCCCTTGTCTGATTTTCGTACAGCTTGGTCTTTGGATGTAGCTGACTCTGATTCTTGACATTTTGGGGCATTGGTATTTAGATCCTCATTTCATTCTGGACCTCTAAACTACCATTTTACAGAGCATCTTCCTCATCATTTCCAACCTTCTTTCCACTTCTTAAAGTTATAGCATGCAGTGCCTTTGGGTTTATTACTGTGTTTGAAGGTAAAGTGCCTCCCATTTGAGCCTGTTGATTACTCATGCTATTGGACAATTGTGTAACATAAGAGGAAAGGTTGGAATTCTTCATCTTGACTTCTTCCAGATCCTAACAAATAGAAGTGAGTTGAGAATTTATGGTTGCTTGTCTGCAGTACCGATGACAGTGAAGAATTATAGAAATTTTTGTCCTCCTTCATTTAATTCAGCAGAGATTGCTTGTCTACAACCATTTGGTTATTCAACTGTGTCATCAATTCCTTTAAGAGTAAATTAGTGTCCTCATTTTTGTTAGAATTGTCTTGAATAGGTACAAGCACCTTAGATGGTGCAACCAGATTCTGATTTGGGGTTTGAAACCGTGATGGTCCAGCATTGTTGGATAAAAACTTATTATTAAAGTTCCTATTGTCACCACCCCCCACCGTAAATTAGGATGGTCCCTCCATCCTTCATTGTATGTGGCAGAAAATGGGTCCCTTTTCTGGTACTGGTTGGGCTTGTTTTGGTAAAAGGCATTAACTTCTTCAAATTTGGAAGGGCAAACAACAGGAAGCTGCATCGAAGATCCATAATAGTCACAGGAGGGAGCTACAATTTGATTGCATGGTGCCACTGGTCGAGAGGAAGTATGATGAAGAGTGGAAATTCCAGTTTTCAAACTCTCCATTTGTGCTACTAGATGCTGTAATACAGAATCAGAAGTAGGCCCATTACTGTTGGAAATTGTGCCCTAGGGGCCAATCATTATGTTTTGAACATTGTTAATTTATGAATTCATTAATTACGTTATCATATTATTTGCATGTTTTCTGTGGTAACTATCCTTGGATAACTCATGATTTATCCTAAATGTCCCTGGTCGGTCATCTATGTGGGAGCAAAGATGAAATAAGACCAGTATGACTTTAAAGATATATAGAGATATAAATTAAAGTCATAGGCACATGTAAGAGTACAAGGTGTTGGACCGACCCGCTATGAGAGAGCTGCATGGGTTAAGTCATAAGCTTCTCTCATATACAAACCACGTCACTATGCCCTTTGACCTGAGATCATCATGGATTCCTACATGAGAAACGCTTAGCTTTGACCTAGTCAAAAGTCACTTTTGACCGAGTGATCATAAAGACTGTGTTCAGGCTTAGTAGTTTTTCATGCGGAGGAATGTGAATGGTCAAGATGGAATTTGTCCCTCACATTTGTAGAGAGACATTACTGGGCCCCTCGATGAGTGAGTCTGAGAAATGTATGGCCATACTATAATGGAAAGGTAGTTCCATTTCTATACTCGGACTACTCAGGGATCGAGAAAGTAACGGTCATGAATAGGAGGATGACGTTCTCCGTGCCTCATCCATGACCAAAATGTCGTGTGACAAAAGGGACGTGATATGGTTGTATGAAAGGCTGCATCGTTCAATGATCCTCATATGTTTTGGGTAGTCGTGATGTCTTGCTAGAGACCGCTTACGACTTGTGAGTCATTATAGTTAATGGCCCACTGCCAACTTCATATGGGCCTACAGGGTCGCACACAAAATAGCCCAACACGAGTTGTGATGTCCAGATTCATTGAATCTAAGATATGTCTAGATTCAATGAATAAATAGGGTGGACGTGTATATATATATATATATATATATATAAATTCGTATATATATATAAGAGATATTAATTTATAAGGATAAATTAAATATATTCCGTCATCTCTTTATTAAATAAATAAGTGAATTAAATCTGTGAGACGGATTTAATTTAAACTATATTTATTTAATTGTTCTCTTATCTGATTAGGCAATATTTGATATTGTATTAATTTCGGAATTAATTTAGAGTTAATTTCGAAATTAAATATTATTAATTAAACCTATATAGCATCCTATATATTTGATATGAGGAGCTAGGGTTTAAGCAAGAGAGAACTAACACCTAAGAGACGGCAAAGAGAGGAGAGAGGACGGATTCCTAAAACCCTAGACGGACACAGGCGCTGGCACGCCGTTCGAGGTTGAAGGCTACTCGTGTGGATACCGGTAGAGGAAGCCGACCGGAGTTGTCGACTTCGAACGACACAGGAGGCGAGCAGAAGCATCCTGAACGGCCGAATCATCAAGTCACCAGGGAATCGAACGCCTAAAGGTAATGCTTCTTACTACCTGACTTAAACGCGATCGGTAGATCCGGAAAGGGATTGAAAGTTTTGAAATTTTTCCGCTGCGCGTCGTCTTTCAATTCCCTACAGCTCACTTCTCCCACATCATAAACATCCCTTGAACTAAATCGCTGGTTATTTCTGGCCATTTTTTCAAGAAGATCCAATCCGGCGGTAGGTGTTAGGTCCAAAATAGAACTATTAGCAGCAGCATCAGGTGTGGCTTTTGTTTGTGGAACATGCCTTCATTAAAATATTGGACCAACCATTGTTTTGGTATTTGGTGATGAGGGCAGTGAGTTAACATTCCCTCGAATCTAGACCAGTAATCATACAAGGATTCCCCTTTATTTTGTCTAACACTATAAATCTCCTTCTTCAATGTTACTGTTCTGGAGGCTAGAAAATATCTTTCCAAAAACAACTTTTGTAATTGGGACCATGTGAGCATAGCATAATGTTGAGGAAGGGACCTTAACCACTCCTTAACATCACCCAGAACTGAAAAATAAAATGCTTTCTTCAGCACCTCTTCAATTGATACGGTGGGTGGCTTGAAGGAAGAACATGCCATATACAAATCTTGCAAATGTTGATATGGATCATCCCCTACATGACCGTAGAATTTAGGAATTGCATTCAGCAGAGAACTTTTAATTTCAAAATTCACAGCAATATTCCCCAGACCATATGGATCATAATCAATAGCAAAATTATTCAACTCCCTAATACTTCTATTTTCAGCTTCAAGATGAGAATTTAAATGTACAGGTCTGGTTTCAGCTTCTTGTTCCTGAGCGTGAGTGGTATTATTAGTATCATTAGGCCTAGGATTATTAGGATCAAGATGTGGATTCATGATAAAATGATTATCTATATAGTGTCCTAAAGAAGATTCTGTATCAGATATATGTGTGGGTTCAGAGTTGGTTGAATCAGCAGATGAAGGTATAAGAGGAAGAGGTGATGTTTCAGGTTGAGCACTGGTTGCCTGAAGCTGTTTGGCTTTTTTCAGATGTCTTAGAGTTCTATTGATTTCTCTATCCAAAGGATAAAATTCAGCAAAGTCACGGCTCATACAAGAATGTAAAATGCAAACAGAAACAAGGAAATCAAACAAACTGGAACTGTCAACCGAAAGTCAGAACAATGAGAAAAGCCACTAGTTTTGTGCAATGTACACAGAAATAAGGCCACCAAACATTCAAATGTTAATGCCTTTAGCAAGTTGACAAGTTGTTTTAAAGTAAGAACTGGACAAATTGTCAGCAGATCGAATTGACCAAATCCTTGACAACTTAATAGAATTTCAAAAAAATGTAGAATTATTCAAAACAGGGTACAATGCTTCAGGAAAATGAGAATACATTAGCAATTTCTTGTAGTGGAAAATTCTCAACCAGTCCCACAAAAGAGTCAAGGCAACAACAGAAATGACTTGGTACACACTAGTAATTACAGCAAACAACAGAACAATATTTTAGTGACCAAGATCAGTATTTCATCCCAGAACGTAAATCTCTAGTAGCAACAGTACGGAAGAACAACAACAATTCAACAACAGATTCCAGAATAAGAATATGTGAATTATCACAATGGTAAATGTTAATCTAAAGTCCAGAAACCAATATTCAATTTAGAATTTCACTCAGCCACACCAGATGCAGAGCAAAAAATGAAAACCAGAAACTTCTAAGAGCTAGAAATTCCCAAGAATCATAACATGTAGCAATCAGAATGAATATTTAGGAGTTAAGAGGCTGGCAACCTAGATGTCGAATAGGTAATCAAAAACAATAAAGAAAGGGTATGCAAAACAATGATGCAACCTAGATGTCAAATCACTTGCTCTAATAACTCTCTGAATTTCTAAGCAAAGTTAACACAATTTACTAGTAGACAGTGTCAGGCAGGACGACGATCAGATTAATACAGAGAAGTCTTTGTTGATTTTCAAGTATAGTAACAAAATGACAAGGAATGAAAGCATAAACAATACTTTGAAACAATAAAGAAAACAATCAGAATATCAATTCTCCCAAGAGTTTCGCTTCATCTTCATCGCGTTTATCTAATCTGGAGCTGAGTATTATTGAATATGCAGAAAATCAAACACCCTTAACTAAACAGAACTTCTACTCATACGAATCAATTAATCAGATCACAAATCCTCAAAACACTGAATCAAAATAAGCTTCTAATTAATTTCTCAATTCAGAGTGAAATACTAAAGTTTCTGCAAAATTCAATCTCACAACATTCATCTCAGTAATTGAAGTAGAACAATCTGAATTCATTCTCAATCACTTTACAACTCATAAAGCAACGGATAATTAAAAGAAATAGATGAATGTGGGACTCCCTCTATAATTCGATCTGCTTGGATCTAGCTCTGCTCTTGGAAGAACGTCTGGAATTAGCTACACATGATGGATGCTCTCCCTTCTTTAATACTTGAATACGGCTTCTCCATGGAGGATATCAGGTTCAGTAATTTTCACCCACAAGAAGATTGACAAATTGGAAGGGTAGAAGTCAATCTGAATGTTCCAACTCCAAGTGAAAGAATGAATTTGTTATTTCTATTTTTTTTCCCATATATACGCCGCCCCCCAACTCATGTCTGTCACGTATCTCCTCCTTGTCCATTATTAATTTCTGTTTCTGGTTCCTTCGTTGTTGTAACTAATTTTTTCGTTGGCTCTAAGCTGGTCTTGGAACGAAGTTTTTGAACATTTCAGCTTTCCCACTTCAGGATTAGAATTTCTGAAACTGAATGTTAGCTCTTTCGATGGAATTTCCTTTCCTTTAGTGATGGAAACCAGTTTCCATTAGTGATGGAATTGCATTTCCTTCGAACTCCCCTTTCCTTCCTTCTAGGAAAAAAATGTTTCTGTCACTCCAAATTTACAATTCTGCCCCTGAATTTAGAGTAATAAGCCAGCAGTAATATCCAATTGTGAAAATTAATAAGGAAAATTATTAAAAACATCACAATTGCTTAATTCTTTTACCCAAGTGCATCAACAATTTATTTTATTATTAATGAAATTAATGCTCAATCTATTTCTTAAAATAGCCTAAAATATACATCCCAAGCATATGAAAATATGATTTATCAGCAGATGATGGATATTAGCAATTTAAACCAGAGGAATGCGCGATAGATTCTGGAGAAGGAATGGAACCGAATCTTGCAGCTCCACTTTGGTTAGCATGTAGATCCTAAACTAATTTCAATTGGGAAGTGTTAGTTACAAGGGAGTGAAGCATTTAGGGAGGATTATTCATTTTTCCAGATTCAGTTTTTCATCTTCATCTCTGTTTTTTGATTCTCTCTAAATCCTCCATCCAGATCTCTCACTCCCCAACCATCATAGTTGCTGTGATGGAAGTTCATATCCTCCAGCTTGAGTGTTCTATCCTCCATGTCCAGCTAAGTTTCAAGGATTTCTAGGAGCTATAATAGAGCCAGAGCCATGGTTAAACAGGAAAGAGTTTAGAGTTTATAGGTGTTTAATTTTAGTGACATTTTGATTGTGTTGTCAATCCTTGTTTCTGGATTCAGACTCCTCTCTATCCGCTTCTATGATTTGAGATTTGGTTAATTGTGTTCGGAGGTTAACTTCTTGATTTAGAGTAATGATGTATGATTCTTTAGCTAGGTCTAGTTATGGATTTATACATTGTAATTGAATTCTTTAGCTAGGTCTAGTTATGGATTTATACATTGTGATTGAATTCTTTAGCTAGGTCTAGTTTGGAAGTGGCTGAATCTACATTTAATCAATCTCATCTCATTAGAAACCATTTCAATTAAAGCTTTTAAACTCTGATTAATACAAGGAAGGCAGTGAAGGCAAAGTTATATCTCCTAGGAATCATTCATCTCATTGATTTCCAATCTCAAAACATTCTCTATTCTGAATTCTTGAATTTCTGTTTAGTAGCGTTTTGATTAAAGTTTCAGAAATGAATTCATCTCAGTTGCCAATGCACTCACCTAATTTCTACCCTAATTTGTGACTTAATCACTTAATAACAATACTAGACTCTTGAGTTCCTTGAGATCGACCTCTGATTGGAAGCTACTTTGCTACATTCTTTAGAGTATTAAATTTGGTTTTAAGCGACATAAGATCAAATTTTTGACACTGTTGCCAGGGAGATCTGTCTCCCTGGTGTTTGTAGTGTTTTAGTACACTTAGGATAGAACTAGGTTGTGATTTTTTTGGTTTTTCTTTAGTTGCTGCATAATTGAAGGTTTTGGAAATTGGATTCTTGACTTTTTGGCTAATCATACTTGAGTTTCATTGTGTGACTCATTAATTGCTTCAACTTGTAACCATTCTTGCTCCAAAGTGTGTCTCAATTGCTTTATAACCATTGCTCTTGAGTGTTTTTAGGTTTCAGGGCAGCTGAGTTGCAGTTCAATGTTGATTCTGTTCATTCTGTCCCAGAGGCCATGGCACATTTTCAAATCTGTCGTAGCACCTCGCGTGTTCTACTCTCGGTGAAAAGCGCCGCAGTGCCTTACGTAATCCACCGTTTAAAGAGAAAAATAAGATCTCTTTGCTCGCCAAATTTCAAAACCTAACTCACTCGTTTACTCAAATGGTCAATGGTCAAACTTTGATCCCTTTTAGTTGACTTTTTACCCCCTTTGGAAGGGTAACTTAACTTAATTGACCACTCAACATCATAGCATACTCTGCTTAGCTATATTAGCTATTTCTAATCATGCTTGGACCATTCTACTCATGCCTGTATACCTCTAACCTTAATCATACTATTGCAAACATAAAGCATGCTTCATATTACATTCCTCCAAAATAGAAAGGTTCAAAGCCATATAAAGTTACTATGGCTTACTACCTCTTCAAGTAAGAGCCAACTCCTTTCCTTTGCCCTTGGATGTTGAAGGCCCTAGGGTTTGTTTAAATATTGGGGTAAGATTCTTGGGGAATCTTAGTAGCAATTGCATACATTATCAAGGTCACACAATACATTGTAAATCAAGCTACATGCATGCATACTTTAACTTTATGTTCATGCTATGGCAAGGACATATCATCATAAACATTCATAGCACTCAACATAGCATAAGCCAAGGCATAATTTGCATGGAGACAACATCATATAACATAACATTCTCATCCACCTCATAGCATAACAGATTAGGAAAACACATAGCCATAATCATACAAAGTAAGGTAACACTCTAATATAATGAATTGCAAAAGCTACCTTGAATGCTTTCCTTCCTTTTGAACTCTTTCCTCTTGACTAGATCTTTGCCCCTTTGTTATGTATAGCCTATTAGGCAATCAATGACGCAACATTAAGTATCATTGCAACTTCACAACTTAACATAACCCTTTAAAC